AGATCTAAAAATTCATTTAAAGCCATGCTCAACAAAAGAATCAAGTTATGATTTCAAACAAAGCCGAACAAAAACCTTTTGGATTTAAATGACAATTCAGGATATGAAAATTTTTGAAATTACAGGAAAAGGTTTGACAAAAACTAATACAAAAGCTAGCTTAAGATTGTTGAGCCACAAAGCAAATTAATTAATTTTTGATCCTAAAGACATTTAAGATTATGAATGGACATAGGCAGACGTGATTTGTAGTTTTGAAAGTTATTTAGATTTGACTAATTCGAATTTTTGATGAGATTTTGTTATTGATTTGTAAACTTTTGAATGGTTTTTGTGATTTTAAGGTTATGGGACATCCACTAATGACGTGTATCATTTATGGATTAGTTGCCAGGGTGGTTTTGAGATCTCGTGGCAAGCCAACTTTAAAATTTTGTGTCGAGAGGCGTCAAACAGTCAAAAAATCAATTTTTTGGTATACGTCATTTATTAACACCTCCTCATGAATAGATTTTGATATCAAAAATACCCTAAAGTACTCAAAATCAACAAAACTTAACCTCCAAAAACTTTTCTAACAGAAAATGACGACAATGATGATTACACGAATCCCTCCTCGTCAACAACAATGACGTGAGTCAGAAAAATCTTTCTTTTTTTGTTTCACATCCAGCACAAGAAAATGAGAAAAGTTGTCCCTCGTTTTTTTTCTACTTTTTTGTACGACATTTGCTGAGATTTCATGCGATAAAGTTTTTCTTCTTGTTTGTCTTTTTCATCTTTCCGGATTTTTTTTTGTTGTGCTCCCTTGGGAGGTTTTTATTTTTGGAGATTAATTTGGATTAGTGCTGAGGTTGTTATATTAATTTTTTGTGAGAATTTGGTTGATTGATGTGATTGGATGAGATATATGTGAGGATAGTTGAGAAAAAGTAAAGTTGGTCAAGTGTAATTGGATTAGCGGATGATATGATGAGATTTGACTAATGTGCGTCATGTTTTTGGGAAGACTTGAATGTCTTTTACTTTAAAGAGCTTTAGTCCAGCTGCGAATACCATAATTAAACCAATAATATTGCTTTAGATGAAAAAAAAGCTAAAATCAGAAAAAAATATCAGTCGTGCGTCATATTTTCGGAAGACATTAATGTCTTTCCCTGAAAATGCTGTTTAAAATTCTTAATAATCTATTAAAACTCTTTCAAAAATTTTCATATTACCTAAATCTGCTCTAATTCCACTTTTCCATCCACCATGAGTCTTATTAAACCCCCTTGAGCCCCCTCCCCAAACAAAAACAACTTTACAAAGCACCTTCATAAACCCTCAAAATTTATTCCCTCCGGATTTTTTTTCTAGTTTATTGTTAAGTAAGAGGGCACTTATTTCTTGCTTGCTCCTACTGCAAATGACGTAACGAAATAGAAAAACAACAATATACTCGTGGATTAGATGATGATAATGAGGAATTTTGGTACACGTTCTTTCCTTTTTTACTTCCTATCAGTAAACAGAGAGCAGTAAAAACGTGAATGAATTGAGAAATTGGAAGAAGTGATGTGAGGATTTTTATGGACGATTTGGAATGTTGACAGATAAGGGAGAGATGGAATTGAAAAGGTTTACGTGAGTGTTGATTGGGGAAAGGTTGAAATTAGATGTTTTAAGATGGCTTTCGAAGACTTGATTTGGATTTTTTTTGAGGTTATGTTGTCTGAGTTTGAAAATTTGCTACTGAACTTTAAGGTTAAATTGCTGAAAATTTGAGGTTATGCTGATCAACTTTGATGTTATATTTTTAAAATTTTAGGTTATGTGACGAATTTTGAGATTAAGTTGCAAAATTGTTTATGTTAACTTGAGAACTTTGAGGTTATTTTGCCAATCTTTGAGGTTATACTATTCAACTTTGAGGTTATGTTGCTTAAATTTGAGGCTATGCTGCTTAACTTTCAGAATTTGCCATCGAAATTCGATGTTTAGTTGACAATTTTTAGGTTATGTTTTCAAGTTTACGTGAAAAATGCGCTGCATACCTTCAACAATCAGCAACATCCTTCAAACATCTCTAGATTCACCAACTTACTGTACAATACCCACTTTTCAGATGACGCACACAATATTGACGTCAAATAAAAATAACTTTACAACCTTACATCCTCAATTTTTGACAATAAATTGTTTGATAATTCCAACTTCTCATTCAGTTAATAAGAACAGAGAAAAACTGCGGAAGTGAAGGAAATAATGATAATAAAAAGAAAAGAATAAAAGAGCAAAACGACAAAAAAAGGAAGGAAAATGTCAATGAAAAGTTGAAAAAATAAAAATTGTATCGAAACACAGGAAAATTGGAGAAGAAAGGAAAGGAAACGACGAAAATAAATAAAAGAAAAATTGAAGAATTTAAAAAAAACGAAGAAAATGATCAGAAATGTGAAACGAGAAGGAACGGAAGATGCTAGGATGTGGAAGAAATTGAGATATTTTTGGAAGAATTGATTGAGGCTTTTTTGCCCTAGTAGAAATTTACTAGTAAATTCCTAGTAATTCACTTGATAACTTTCCATTTGCTACTTGCTATTTACTAGTCAAAATCCAAGTTCAAATCATCGCCAAAGACCCGCATTTTCACTTGGTAATTGACTAGTCAATTCGCTTACAATTTAACTAGTAATTTACTAGCAAATTTGGGAAAAAATTAAATGAATATAACCGTTGATTTCCACGTGTTCTTTTGATTTTTTTTATTTGTGTAAATTATTGTAAAAGTATTAGTGTACTTAGTTTAAGTTAATTAAAGTACACTAACACTATGATAAAAAACAAAAGACTTAATTTAATTAAGTCGAACACTGATGAACGGCCATGACTCGCACGCAAACCTGAGGAAGATAAATAATTAATTGAAAGTCACATACAAATTTGGATCGACCTTATAAAGGTGATTTCTGCGCGCTCTTGTGAAGTATATGGTAAATGCCAAATTTAGAACAAAATTTTTTTTGACGCAAAAAATTCTTTTTTTGATGATTTTTCGTAGGATTCGAACTTAAGAAGATTTGATCAAACATTTTACATGGTAATTTGGTAGTAATTTGCTATTAAATAGCGAGTGTAATTTTCTAATAGTAAGTTGTTTTAATAATTACTAGTAAATTGCAAGTAGTAAAATAGAAAGACTAGCAATTTGCTAGTTAGTCTCGCTAGGGTTGGAGTATTAAAATAAATTTTGAGGTAATGTTGCTAATTTTTGAGGTTTTGCTGCTAGTTTTTGAGGTTATGTTGCTAATTTTTGAGGTTATGCTGTTTAATTTTAAGGTTATGCTGCCAAATTTTAAAGATATTCTCCACATCGTAAGATTAACCAGCTCAAATATGTCACAAAACTCATATCAAGCCCTGAAAGCACCTCAATACAAAAATTTCCCCTCTTAAAAAAGTTCAAATTCCAACAATAAGCAGACAAAAAAATATGTTAAACAAAAAAACTTTTGATGAAGAATTTTCTCGATTGCGATAAAAAAAAAACTTTTATAAAACAATATTTGTTACCCAAAAAAGTAAAAAGAGTAACAGAATCAGACCCAAAGGCAAAATATTCGCGAAAAAAGGCTGACAAAATTCTTTATTTGAGAATTTTTTATAAAATGTTTCTTGACAATTTTTAATGATCGTTGATGACATTTTAAGATTCCTTCCTCAAGCTTTAAGTGTCTTGTGCCTTCCGTGGTTACTTTTCTTTTGTTGATGAACATTTTTGGAATGTTGTGAAGGAAGGAAGATTTTTTTTGTTGTTCTAGATGAGCGTCTTCTATGCTAAGCGTTTCTCTTGCTTAACATTTCATTAGCTGAACGTTTCTCTAGCTGAGCGTCTCTCATTCTGAGCATATTTTCAGCTGAGCTTCTTTTCAGCTGAGCTTTTCTTCAGCTGAGCTTCTCTTCAGCTGAGCTTCTCTTCAGCTGAGCTTCTCTTCAGCTGAGCTTCTCTTCAGCTGAGCTTCTTTTTAGCTGAGCTTCTCTTCAGCTGAGCTTCTCTTCAGCTGAGTTTCTATTCCGCTGAGCTTCTCTTCAGCTGAGCTTCTCTTCAGCTGAGCTTCTCTTCAGCTGAGCGTCACTTCAGCTGAGTTTCTCAACAGCACTTCAGCATCTATCAAGTTGAATTTATTCTCAAAGATACAATCCATATAACCACAACATGCTCTCAAACTCTTCAAAGCTCACCAAAATTGATAAGGGTAAAGAATTATTAAACGTCGGAAATTACATAAAAATCTAACTGTCCCATTTTTTTCTGTGGTTCAATGAAAAACATAAACATTTTTATGCTCTCAAGTTGAGAAACAACAACAGCGTTAAAAAATCCAGACGGTTCTCATCATCAGCATCTCTTGTGCTTTCAATTTGCGATATGAGAGTTTAAATATTTTTACTTAAAAAAAATAGAAAACAAAAAAAAGGTTTTTCATGAATGAACACAAAAAATAAAACTTTTTGTACATGATTACCTTTTGTATTTTGTTGTTCGGCACGTTTTGTTCATTTTTTATGGAAATTTGTATTATGTTTTTAGAGTGAATGAATAAAGACCTGGCTTAGAGATCAAAAGGTTGGGTGGGTGTAGTGAAAGATTATTAAGAAGATGAACTCGGTTGGGGATGATAAGACGGATTTAGAGCTATTAAATTGGACATTATAGTCATTATTATGGATGAAACATGAGAAAGCAGAGAAATTTTAGAGAGTTGATGGATATTAAGGTAGATTGAGTTTATTAAGTGGAAAATTTATCATGTGAATATTGAAATTTTTGAGTAATGAAGGTGTTTATGGGAGATGCAGAGGTTTGGGTAGGGATTGTAATATAATAAAAGAATAATATATTATCATGCGTCATATTCCGAGAAGACTGTAATGTGTCCCTTTGAATATGACCTTATAACCTAAAATTCACTTTCGTTCGTTATATTTCAGGAAAACAGGAAAGTCTTGCTCTAAATATGACCATCGACTCTAATTTCATTTCTATGCGTCAGAATCTGGGAAAACGGTAATGTCTCACCCTGAATATGACCATTGACTCTAAATTAATTTCCATGCGTCAGAATATGGGAAGACGGTAATGTCTCTTCCTGAATATTACCATCGATTCTGAATTCATTTCCATGCGTCAGATTCTAGGAAAACGGTAATGTCTCCCCGTGAATATGACCGTTTCTGAAAAAATTCATAACATTTTTTCAAAGAATTAAACCAATTTTATTTTATTTTACAATCCAAAAATGTGTGAGGTACAGCATTTTCTTCATAACAATCATTTCGTCTTATATTCATTTACTTTTTCATCAAAATTTATTATTCAGGACACATGTCACATATATCATTCAATATTTTTTTGCTGCATTATATAACTATACACCTTAGAATTTTAATAAGAATCAGGCTACCAAGCTTACATATGAAATATTTTTTTTTTAATTTCGAATTACATTTTTCAATCTCTTGACAAAATAAAAATCCTCGCTAGCTCACTTACATTGGTAAATGAAATATTGCACAGCAAGCACATCACAATATTTCATGATGTGTGCTGATAAAATGATTTATTCATAACACATTTCATGAATATTCAATTTTTTTGCTCTCTTACTAGCTTGATAATAGAATATGGAGACGATGAGACGCGTTAGGGGGGTTTGAGACTGTTTTTGCATATAAGATTGGTGTTGAAATGCCTTACGAGGGGAAACGCTAGATTTTTTAGGAGAATTTGAGGTTAGAACGGAAATTTTTGAGGTAAAAATTGTCAATTTTGAGGTTTGAATTGACAATTTTGAGGTTAGCATAGACAATTTTGGGGTTAGAATAAACAGTTTTGAGCTTAAAATCGAAATTCGAGGTTAGAATTAACACTTTTGAGGTTAGAATGGAATTTTCAACGTGAAACTTAACACTTTTGAAGTTAGAATGTTGAATCTCAAAGTTGGACAATTCAGATTTGCTCTGATCCATTCTGAACAGCTCATTTCTCCTAAAATACTTTACTTTATGTCCAAACCATATGATACCACACCAAATGACCCCCATACTTACTACATTCTATAAATTTCAACTTATTCCACCTCAAAAAGGCACAAAATTAAATAAATAAATTTTCTTCTCACATTTTTTTTCATTATCAGCTACCTCTCTACCTGCTATGCTCAAAACAATAGACAGACAGTCTTAATAAAATTAAATCTATAAATGAAATTATTTTCATTTTTGCTAGAACGAAGCTTATTGTCTCCATATATTGGATGAAATTGTAAGAAAATTTGCCAATAAATAAATATATTTATCTAGTCATGTGTGGATTGTTGTCAAAGGAACAAGCTTTGCATGATAAAAGGGATTTTTCATGCTTTTATGAATCGAATTTGTGGTTGGGAAAAATGCGGATGTTTTGAAATAAATTATATTAAGGGGAAGTTATTTTGTTGTGGTTTTAGTTGTTATGGTTCCATACAATTATAAAAGGATGTATTGAGTAGTTTTTGTAAGATTCTAACCTCAAAATCGACAACATAACCTCGAAATCCAGCAACATAACTTCAAATTTCGGCATCATAACCTCAAAATTTGGTAACATAACCTCAAAATTTGGCAACATAACCTCAAAATTTGGCAACATAGCCTCAAACTTAAGCAACAAAACCTTTAAATTTGCCAAACAAACTCAGAAGTTGGCAACATAACCTCAAACTTAAGCAACAAAACCTTTAAATTTGCCAAACAAACTCAAAAGTTGGCAGGATAATCTCAAAATATGACAACAAAATATGAATTTTACATCAAAACCTCCACAGTTTTCATTCTAACCTTAAAATTGTTCAAATTAACCTCAAAACAAGTCACAATAAGCAAAACAATTTTCAATTAAAAATTTTTGAGCTCAAAATTTTCAAAAACACTATCAAACCCCAAAAATTCAATTAAATGTTCATCAAAACCTTGTTAAATTAAATCCCATTGATTTATTTGCATAAAAATATTTCACCAGAATTTAATAAATTGATATTATTTTTGTTTGAAAATCAGATTAATTCGAAAAAACGGTTTCAAGCTTGAATGAAAATAAATTTTAAATTAGTTCTGCGAAAATTTAGGCGTAGAAATTGAAACTTTTTCTGTGAATTATATTCATAAACTTTTTGGTTTTGTTTTGATGATTTTGTAAATTAATGAGAGTTTTTGATGTTGCTGGGGTGCTTGTACAGTAAAATAGAATTTATTCTTGATTTAACAAACCTTAATTAGGTTTTTCTTGGAATATTTTTATCTAATTAGTAAGTTTGATGTGGATTGAAAATATGATAGGTTTTTTTTTGATAATTCTTGAAATTTAATGGTTAAATTAGAAATGTGGTGAAGTTAAGCTTGAAATTTTTTTGTTTTCTTGGACATTTAGAGGTTAAATTTGAAATTTTAAAGATTAACTTGACAAATTGTCAGGTTAAGTTGACAAATTTTGAGGTTAAATTTGACAGTTCTTAGGTTAAATTGACAAATTTTGAGGTTAATTTGGCTATTTTGAGGTTGAAATTGACAAATTTTGAGGTTAAATTCGACAAATTTTGAGGTTGAGTTGACAAATTTTGAGGTTAAATTTGAAAATTTTAAGGTTAACTTGACAAATTGTCAGGTTAAGTTGACAAATTTTGAGGTTAATTTGACAGTTCTGAGGTTAAATTGACAAATTTTGAGGTTAAGTTGACAAATTTTCAGGTTACGTTCACAAATTTTAAGGTTAGACCAAAAAATCTTGTTCAAAAGCTACCAAAAATGTCAACATATGCCTCACACCTCACCCCGCACCTGCAAATCTCTTCAATTCAATATAAAAGTCCTTCAAATCCCTTCAAAAGTAAAATTTTTTAATCAAACTCAGCGAAAAGAAAATTTTCCAAGTGGAAAAATATTCAAACATAAAAATCCCAAATTGAAAAGCATTTCATAAACTGAAATAAATTCTTTCTCCATTAAATTTTAATATTTTTGCTATTCAAAAATGAGAAAAAAATAATAAATTGAATTTATTAATTTACCAAGAAAATTATTTAATGGAAAACAAAAATTTTCTTGCTTGTCTCTGTTGCCTGACAAGTTGAGATATTTGTGATTATTTCTATGGAAACTCAACAACAGCTGAAGGCTGTAGACACGAAAATTATCCTTGGTTACACGAGGAGATGAAACAGAGAGGCAAGATTCCATGACATAATGCTGTTGTTTTTCTGTTCCTTATGAGAATGCTTCAAGGCATGGCCGAAATATTCAGGAACTTACTCAAAACATTGAAGTTTAAGCTAAAGTTGAGGATTATTGCTAAGAGTTGGTTGAAAAATTGAGAAAAGTTATTCAAATTTTAAATGGGGTTGGCCACAAATATCGGGAATTTTGGCTCATTTTTTTAAAGTTTAATCAAAAAGTTGCAAAAATTTGACAAAATATTTTAAAAATTGAAAAAAAATTGCCTAAAATTTTCAAATGTTTGGCTGAAAAAATTGGGAAACTTTTGTCCACATTTCGAAAATTTAACCACAATTTTCAAAACTATTGGAAGACTTCCCGAAATATTCAACAATAGTCTAAAAAATGTTAAAGGGTTGGCCATAAAAATCAGGAATATCCACAAATCGACCTCGATTTTTCTCATCTTAACCTCCGATATTATATTTCTTTTGACAGCACAGCACAAAAATCTCCCAAATGGCACTAAATTTCCAAAGGATTTCCTTTTGTGTGATAGAATTTTTTTTTCCCATTTCAGGTGACTTTAAGGTCACAAAAAAGGATTACATCGAGGATTAGGATTATTTTGTTATTTAAGATGGAATAATTTTTGTTTTTATTGGCAGTTCTCGAGACACTTCGTGTGGCTATTATTTTAAATGGTGTTATTTTGTGTAATTTTAGCACTTTTTGTTGAGGATAATAGCTGAGTGGTAAATTATGCAGCTTTTGTGAATTATTTATTGTGTTGTAGGTTGGCTGAGGTAGATGGATTTGGGGATTTTTGTTCCATAGCCAAACTGGTTTTCAAAGGTCGATCAAAAATGATGTGACATTCAATGTGAACCTTTGTATTTCATCACTTAGATTGGAGTAAGAAGGAACGACGATTCATGAACTTTAAGAAGATGTCATCGAAAAATTTTATTTTTTACGGACGGCATTTATGAATAAAAACTTGTTTTTTAAAAAAATTTCTAATAAAAACAGCAAAAATAAAAATATGATTAATGACAGCAATGAACTTGAACTCGATTAGGATTATTCAGTCTAAAAATAAGATTGCTTGCTTTTTACTCTCACAGAGAGGATCTCTTATATTCTTAGACAAAGGTTGTCCATAAGTGACAGCTTCCCCCCCAAAAAAAACTTCTTATGATGCAATTATAGTTTTTTGACAGCTTCCAATTTGACATGAATTTAACTATATTTACCTTTCTTAATCTTTCTGACGTCACAAGTAGTTGACCCCAAACCAAATGTTTCCTAATATTGAAGCTGCTTGTTTTTATAATTATTAATACATCAACTCTCATTTGATTGAGATTGAAAAAGTTCTTTGGTAACAATCTTTACTTTATTTACTCACGCACAACTTTTTGAAGCATAAAGGAAGTGAAACGTGTCATTAATGGCTCGACTTATTTTGTAAGTATTTATTTGGATTGCTTTAACTAAAATAGAGTAATGATGAGCATATGGAATCGTTAATCTAGTGCAGTGATGTCCAAAATATGTGACGCGGCACACTAGTAATTTCACGAATCGTATTACTTGTACAATTTTAGTCATGGCTTCCTTTCAAGGTGTGACGTGGTACAAATAAGGTTGAACCGCACTTCCCTAAAGCAGGGGTGGCCAACCTTTTTTTGCCACAGCACACATTGATGGTAAGTCATAACCCAAACTGCAAACAGCATAAAGTTTGTGGGATTTCTCGAATTTTTTCGCTGCACACTAGGTTGACCACCACTGCCGTAGTGGAATTACAAAAAAATCAAAAATCCTTGATTTATTTCTGCCTTAACCACTGTCTCATTTTTAAACCATGTCATGGGCGTAGCCAGGAAGGTCTGACCACCCTCCCCTGGAGCCACGCTCTCTCTCTGTGGTTAAAACTTTTTAGGAGGGTCCAGCCTCCCCGTGGCTTCGTCCTTGTCCATGGATCAATTTGTACGTCAGTCCGTTTGTCCTGTTTGCAGCTTAACCTATCCACCTTCATCATAACATCCTCAATCTTTAATTAATTAAAAACATTATCCTGTCTGCATCTTTCAGACTAATCGCATGTATCTTCGGAGTTTACCTAAAATCCTCAACATCAACTAGCATCACATGCAGCTATGATGAAACAACCAGGAACATTGTTCAAGATTCATATTACTGCTCGCTCAGCCTTGACATCGGCATAACAACTCGAGAGCAAGCGATGATAACTTCACATTCTGGAACACATAGAACAGGCAAAGCAGATGTTGACGTTGAAGGCATTGAAATTTCATCAGAAATTACAAATTATTTCCCACGTGGTTTAGAGTCTTTTTTCCCAAACATTAAAGCTATTAAAGTTGATGATTGTAAATTGAAAGAAATCACTCAAGCTGATTTAAAGCCATTCCCAAAATTAGTCGAAATTTCCATCTCTTCCAATGCACTTGAAGTCCTCGAAGAAGGTCTTTTTGAATTCAATCCTGACTTAGAATACATTTATTTCTATACCAACAAGATTATCCACATTGAGCCGAATATCTTTGAGCATTTAAGTAAGTTGCGGTACCTATACCTTGGTTCCAATTATTGCATCAGTAAAAGTGCGAAAAATTCAAAGTCACTCGTCAAAAAACTCATTCGATTGACTGAAATTCAGTGCATTAATTCAGACTTTTCGTCACTTAACAGCCAACTTGATGCTCTTAAAAATGTGTCAGTAACTTTAAATCCCGAAGAGTTTCGTGAAAAGTTGCTGGCTTTTGAGAAAACCTTCAATTCCTCTAAATTTGCAAACTATCGACCTTTAAATTACAAATTTGATGCTCTTAAAAATCCAAAAATTGAGAATCTCGACACTTTTGAAGCTCCTCAAAACTCTTCAAGCACCTGCCTTAATGACTCAACTTTAGACCAAATAACCTCAAACATAAATGACTTAAAAACATTTCAAAACAGCTCAATGGATAGTCTCAAGTCTACTTTAGATGAAGTTAAGACAGCACTTAATTTAGCATGTACATCAGAATCCCTTAATAAGGTCCTGTCCATCCAGTCCAATCTTTTAGGCTTGCAAGGTGAAATCAGCACCCAAATTGAAGATTCACAAATCATTGTCAAGGCATCACTTGATACTTTAACCTCAACTTTTAATCTTATTACTGCTGACCTAAGCATGACTGTCAGTAAAATTGATGCAAAGATCGATAACCTTGAAAGCAGACTTAATTCAAACTCGGCAGTGTCGCAAAATGAAGACAATTTCAAAATATTTGGTGATAAGCTTGAAGCACTTCAAGCAGATAATGTCCAAAAGTATGACAAAATTGAGAAGGAACTGATGAACATGCGTATTGAAATTGAAGCAGCAATTGATGGGAAAATTAAGGGAATTGAAGAGCGACTCATAAGTAAGTTTGAGGAGGTTTTGGTGGAAAAATTGAGAAAATTTTTGAGTTAAGTTGAGAGGTGGAAGTTTGTGCTGGATATTCTATTTTGTGTCCACTTTTCTGAATGTGTAAAGTTGCTCAATAAAGTATGTTTATCAATTTTTTATACAGGCTGACTTAATTTTTATTGTTAAGGTTAAATGATTTCTTCTTCAATCAATTTCAGACTCATGTGACCAGGGGCGTAGACAGGAATTTGAAGAGCGGGGGACATTTTTTTTTTGTATGGAAACTTTTAAGGGGGGGGGGGGGGGATTTTTCGAGTTTTTCTAGAAAACTCTAGCAAAATGAAGAAATTTCTCAAGACGAAAGGGGATTTGTCCCCCACCTCCACTCCCTGGCTACGCACCTGCATGTGGCTAGTCTCAAGGGTTACGGAACTGTTAAATTAGATTTAGATCATTTTGATCAGTTCCGCTCCCTTAGCTGTTCTGCGAAGAATTAAATTAACTCTTGCAACTGACAAAGTGTCAAAAATTGAATAAAAAAATTCTTAAGAATTTATCAGATGCATTCATTGATAAGAAAGCTGAAGATTCATTGACTGAGGTAGAAAAAAATGGACATTGAGGCTCATTAAGGGTCAAATTAAAAATAATTTTTTTAAGGTTATGACTCATTGGCGTAGCCAACTGCCCCCCACCTACATCTCCATGCTATTTGTAATAATTTCTTCAATTTGGCAGTGCTTTGGACGAGAAGCCCCCCCCCCCCCCCCATCCTCCAAAAAAACAACGCCCTTGCTGTCGGCTCCTAATAAGTTGTCTTTGAGAGCTCATATCAGTTTTTTTAAAAAATATACACAAATAAGAGTTGTTCACCTATGACGCTTAAAATTGAGACATTAATGATAAGAGATCCCAAAATAATCTATTAAAAGAATTGCGTTCACTGCTCTATAGACTCTTATTTGGTTGACATTGAAAGTTGTTTGATTAATTTAAAGCAAGTTGTAAAGGATTAAAATGGCAAAGCTCTTTTTGTAAGTATAAATTTGTGATTTTAGCTAATGCAGTCACTGATTTTAAACTCTAAAATTTGCTGACAAAAATGTTCCAGGCTGCTGCTTTTTGTTGGAGTTTACTTGAGATTGTCTGCATCAACAAGTATTGAATGTGACTATCTAACTCAAAGTTGGAACATTTTAACAAATGTTTATTATTGTCAAGTTAATAAGGATCCTAGCATAACAACTAAAGAGTCAGCAACAATAACTTCAATTTCTGGAATTCAAAAAAGTGGAAAGACAAACTCTGATGTTGAAGGCTTTGATGTGTATTCGAAAACCTGTCATTTTTTCCCGCATGGTTTAGAATCTTTCTTTGAAAATATTAAACTTTTTCGAATTTACAGTTGTAATTTAAAGGAAGTCCACCAAGAAGATTTGAAGCCATTTCCTAAATTAGTTGAATTAGCTTTATATTATAATTCACTGGAAGTCCTCGAAGATGGTCTGTTTGACTTTAATCCTAATTTAGAATATGTTCATTTCCAAAGTAACAAAATTGTCCACATTGAGTCGAGGATCTTTGATCATTTAAGTAAATTAAGCTTTCTTTGGTTGAGTTCAAACACTTGCATTGACTTAACTGCACAAAATTCAATTTCCCAAGTCAAAAACCTCGTCCAGATTGCAAATTCTCAGTGCATAAATTCTGAATTTTCCTCACTTAAAGAAAATCTTGAAAATCTTGAAAAAGAAGCGATAATTTTCACTGAAAAATTGCTGACTTTTGGACAAACTTTAAATTCCACAAAATTTGCTAGTTTTCGTCCTTTAAATTATAAATTTGCTGCTCTTAAGGAACTTAACTTTGGGAAAACTTCATTTAAAGCATCAAATTCAGCTCCGACGACATCACAAGTTAACACAGATTGTCTGAATCAGGTTCTAGAAAATCATAAAAATCTTTTAAGTTCTCAAGATAATGTCAAGTCATCTCTTAAGGATCTAAACTCAGCCTTGAATGTTACAAACACTCACTTCTGCTCATCCATACAAACCCTTGAAACCTCATCAAATCAACATACTGAAGCGATCCTCAACAGCTTGAAATCAACAAAAACTGACATTCTAGGTTCCATTGACTATGTTTGCGCCAAAGAATCCTTCAAAGACATTTTAAATTCAAGCATATCTAAAGTAAATACCAATATTGATGCTCTGAAGACATCAACAAGCCAAAGATTGACAGAACTCAATTTATACATCAACACAAACCACAAAAAGTCTCAAAATCTGTTCAAGTCATCGCAAGACGACATAAAAAGCTCAATTGATGACATCGAAGCAACACTTAATAGTCTCAAATCATCACAAACTGATATAAAGTCATCAATGAATAAAATTAAAAGTTCTCAATATGAAATGAAAGCTACGGTCGATGAACTGAGGATCCAGAAAGATGACGATGCTGATGATAAGTTTAAAATAATTTTTGATGAAATTGAGATCCTTAAAGGACAAATCTCAGGAATTAAGGCAGATATTGTGAAGGAAGTGAGCAGTAGTCGTCACAGGATCACAGCAATAATCGATGAGAAAATTAAAGGAATTGAGAAGCGACTTATGAAGAAGTTTGAGGAAATTTTGGAAAATAAGTTGGCGAAATTCATTGGAAATTGAGGATCAGAGGGTGGGAAAGATTAGCTAAAGTTTACTTTTGCCATAAAGAAGACAATGTCAAGCAGGTCCCAAAAATTAGGTGGCGAATAAATCAAAATATTATATGAATCAAGGCGTAAACACTCAAAAAAATATTTTTGGCGCCAAAAAATGTTTTATGTCTTTTTCCCATGATTTCTCGGAATCCCAGAGAAATCCCTAGCCTATTCATCATATAATTTCAGGATCCGTTGGAATTTTTGAGATCGGACATCAGGAAGTGCTGGGATTTTTTTGGGATTTTTTGGGATTTTTGGGATTTTCAGGATTTTTTGGGATTAATCCCGAGTGTTTACGCCTTAATATGAACAATATAAAGTTACACAATTCAATATGACTGAGAGGCTGTTCATAATTGACGTCATCAAAATACGAAATTTTTGAATCCCAGATCCCAGGATGTAGCTCAGGGCGCTAGTTTTGGACGTCATTTATGAATAGTCTCTTATCAATTTGTTGTTTTGTATTTAGACAGCGTTGATTTATTTTTTTTAATTTGATAATAAATTTTTCAGATTAATCAAAATTAAATGTGAATGACATTGAACACGACCTGGACATAGACAAACACTGCAATAAAATAATCTTTGTTATGTTCAGAATTATCAGCACAGTGACAGGAGTCGTTCACTTATTATGCCTCAAAATTTTAGGAGGGGGAGAAGGAAGTTCTTAGATTATTTGTGACAGTTTAAACAATGAATTTTTTTTTTCCATTTAATTATTGTGACTAAAGGGGGCGGGGGTTTGGTAGAAGAGGGGTCTAATAATCATGATTTTTGACTTACATCAATTGTGAACGACCCTACAGTTAGCTTCTTATATTTTAAAAAGTCCTCAGCTTCTCATTTAACTCTTGTTAAATAAGCTGAAAAGTTGTTCCGTTTAAAACTCAAAATCTGTGACTTTATTAATGGCTAGAGTTGCTTTGTAAGTACAACTTAGGTTTAATCTGTTTACTCTTAGCAACTTTGAATGAATTATTTTTTGATTTTCTTCTTAGATTTTTGATTTGCATTGTCGGTGCCTTTTTAAGATTCTCAACATCAACAGGCATTGGATGCACTTATTACACCAACAATTGGACCATCGTAAAAGGCTTATATTACTGCTTTATTAATAATGATCCAAGAATAACATCTCGAGAGTCAGCAAAGATAACTTCAATTACTGGAAATCATAAAATTTGGAAGTCAAATGTCGATGTTCAAGGCTTCCATATTGATGTTAGAACAATTAATTATTTCCCACGTTTTGAAGCTTTTTTCGTGAATGTCAAGCTGATTTGCATCTACAATAGTAATCTTAAGGAAGTCCATCAAGAAGATTTGAAGCCATATCCAAGATTAATTGAGATTGCTTTGCATTATAATTCTATTGAGGTTCTTGAAGAGGGTCTGTTTGACTTTAATCCTGATTTAGTGTATATTGATATGTCCAACAACAAAATTGTCCATGTTGAGCCAAAAGTCTTTGATCATTTAAGTAAATTAATGACTTTACACTTGGATTCAAATATTTGTATTAGCATTGGCGCCTCCAATTCAAGACCAGCTGTCACAAACCTTCTCCTTGCTATTATTTCTGGATGCAGCAATGCAGAATTTTCATCACTCAAAAATCAACTTGACAACCTCGAAAGTGAAGCTAAATCTTTAAATTCCGAGGAGTTTAGAGGAAAATTGACAACTTATGAGAAAACTTTAATCTCCTCCAAATTTGCCAACTTTCGTCCTTTAAACTACAAATTTGATGTTCTTAAGAATCTCAAAATTGAGCAATTGAATCAAGTCAAGACATCAGATTTAGATGCACAACTAAGAACCCTTAACGACCTAATGACTAAAATGTCAATAGATGTAAATGATCTAAAGTCATCCACAAATCAATGCTTAGCTGACTATAACATCTCGATAAGTCCCTTCAAATCAGTTCAAGATCAATTCGACATTAAATCCTCAATTGAAGGCATTTCGGCAACACTCAAGTTATCAAAAAATGAGCTTAAAATGTCAGTAATGGAGATGGAAAATACACAAAAATCATTTGGTGATAAAATTGAGAATCTTGAAGGACAAATTGTTGACTTGAAGGCTGATAATGCTGAGAAGTTTGCTCAAATTAGGAAGGAACTGAGCAGCACACGTCACAAGATCGGAACAACAATTGATGAGAAGATTAAAGGAATTGAGAAGCGAATCTTGAGGAAGTTTGAGGATATTTTGGAGGATAAATTGAGGCAAATCTTCGAAGCAAATGTTGAAAAGTTTATTGAAGGCTAAGAGCGGGCAATTCAGGGTTAAAAAGTGAACGGACTAAATGTTTTAAAATTATTTTCAATTCAATCAAATTTTTGGTTAATGAAGAATGAAAGCTTTGGATTTTTTGTCACTTTTATGTCATATTTGCTGCACAATTGCCTCTTCATAGCCAGAATCTTAGTCGAGCGAGACGATTGGACCTAATGATAGGATTCCAGAGCTTGATGCCGATAGGATTCGACTCGACTCAACTTTTCTCGAGTCGACTTAATTTTCTCTGAATCGACTTCGAGTACACTCGAGTCAAGTCCACTCGAGTCAAGTCCACTCGAGTCAAGTCCACTCGAGTCAAGTCCACTCGAGTCAAGTCCACTCGAGTCAAGTCCACTCGAGTCAAGTCCACTCGAGTCAAGTCCACTCGAGTCAAGTCCACTCGAGTCAAGTCCACTCGAGTCAAGTCCACTCGAGTCAAGTCCACTCGAGTCACGTCCACTCGAGTCAAGTCCACTCGAGTCAAGTCCACTCGAGTCAAGTCCACTCGAGTCAAGTCGACTTCTAGCTCTGTAGGATTCTAATGAAGGATTCTGCCGGTCCCAGATAGATAGAATGTAAGGTAGGGTTTTGCTTAGAGCAAAAACGGCACTGCCAGTACCAACCATAAACTCTTCTTCCTTTTCCAACACCTCCCACCCACGCCTTTCTGTATCACCAACAACCGCCAATTTTTCACGTTCCAAACACTCCGAATTCCATCGTTCACAAAGAAACAGGCAGCAAAAAAGCACCGTACACAACAGAAAAGACTCACAAATCAATCACATTTTTTAGAAGTTATTCAAAATTGAATTTGTGAACGAGAGCAATCCAATTGTGATGAAAATTCGATTCTGCATTCTTCCATGTGTCACATTTTCATTGAGTGTTTATGCTTGCCATGACATTAGACAACAAAAGACGACGAGGAAGTCTCAGTTGAGAGTTGCTCAGGTGTTCCTTTATTCCATCGTAACTGCTTTCGTTTTTTATTGAAAAATCAAATCAAATGGAAAAGTAAAAGGGGGGTAGGGGGGGTATGTTGTTGTGTGATGATATTTCGGAGAATTTCACTCATTGTCGATCAAAATTTCATCAATCAAAAGACGTGATTTGTGATATACGTAGGAGGTATGAGGAAGGGACTAGAAATTGCGTAGGTAAAATGACTAAATGTGCGGTAAAAGCAGAATTGCTTTTTCTGATGTTAGAGCAAGAATGTTTAGCTGACAAGTCCAAAGGAATCCAAGGGATAAGCACCCAGTTTTCTAAATCCAAAGGATGAACACCAAGATCTCTAATATCCAAGGAATTAGCAATCAGATCTCTGAAATCCAAGGGATGAACACCCAAAATCTCTGAAATCCAAGGGATGAGCACCAAGATTTCTGAAATCCAAGGAATGAACACCCAAAATATCAGAAATCCAAGGGATGAACACACAAAATATCAGAAATCCAAGGGATGAACACTCAAATCTATGAAATCCATGAGATGAGCACCCAAATCTCTGAAATCCAAGGGATGAGCACCCAAATCTATGAAATCCATGAGATGAGCACCCAAATCTCTGAAATCCAAGGGATGAACACCTAAATCTATGAAATCCATGAGATGAGCACCCAAATCTCTGAAATCCAAGGAATGAACACCCAAATCTCTGAAATCCAAGGGATGAACACTAGAAATTGATAAAATCAATAGTTTGTCGTCATAAAATAATCTTCAAGCACAAAAAATATCTCCCAAATCAACCTACAACCCACAACAACACCTCCTAATAATTGCTAAAACAAGACTCCGTCCAAGAATCATAAACCAGCATCCAAAAAAATCTCATAAAAATAGATTTTCCATAAAAAGTTTTCTTCTTTCCCTTCAATAATAATTTTTTTGATATCATTCAAGACATAAAACGTGTGATAACTTCGTAATAACTTTTCGGCCGGATATTGGCAATAAAAGAGTCAAAAGGTACATCCCCACTTGAAAGTTAAGGCATATCTTTTGTGAACTGAGAGATGAACGACAATGGAAATGCGAGCAGATGAAAAAGAAGGAAAGATGTTATATGATTATAGGCCGGTTGGGTTTTATATCGTGCTGTGTTATTTATATACAGAAATGGCAGTGACTGATAATGAGATCATGAAGTGTTGCGTATTATTCCCATGACGCTTATATGATATCGTTCGACTTGATAAAGTGGGATTGATTTATAGAGGTTTGGTGATGGGTTGTGGAAGGATTGGTTGGCCTACTGGATAGCAATTAGTGTCAACTTTTGTAAGTTTTGAATGCTGAAGCATTGGATTGATGAACAAATCTTGGATTTTGAACTTTTAAGTGTCTATCCCTTGAATTTCTTAATTATAGGTGTCCATCCCTTCGATATTTTGAAACAAAAGTGCTCAACCCTTGGAATTGTGATCTTTTTACACCAACGTCTAGTTTTTCATCCATGATAACTCTCAGTCTAAGATCCAACAAGCTATTCAACTCTTAATGAAATCAGCACAACCCACAACCCACTCCCACATCCTCAACACAGACCAACTTAGATTTGCTAATAATTTCTATATTATTTGATAATTTCCTATCAGATATCATCGAACCGCAAAAAAATAACTCCCTTCGGAACTAAAAATGAACCCAAATTTCCCATTTTATTAACTGCTATCATTCCTTATCAATCCAAGACCATCTTTTATGATCCTTAATATCCAATCAACCCAACAACAATGAAAAAAAAAATAAGGAAAATCTCAATTCAGATTTTTTTTTTCCGTAACGATTGCTTTGTTTATAGAAAGCAAGTAACATGTGAGCTTATGCCTTAACATTTTCGATGTTGTGCGTCATGAATTTTCTTATCGGCAACCGATACATCGTCATTATTTTTATTCTTCTCATTCCTCCCAGTCTTGTGTCATTAAATCCAATTTCTCTGTCTTGTTTTCATAATATGCCGAAGCGACAATGAAGACTAAATTGATAACAGGATGATATCATAGACACACAAACACAATTGTAATGTCAATAATGTCTTTTTTTGCTGGATATTCTTTTGTTCGATTTGATTCTTTATTTGGTTTGTTTCTTGTTCGGATGGAGGCTGGGAATAGTGTTGTTTGTGCTTTTTGGGTTAGATTGGAGTCAGTTTGTCTTAAAATGGCCATGCCATCTGTATAGAGATGCTGATAATTGTGAGAAGAATCAAAGTAGAAAGGCTTCGTCTGAAATGCTTTAAAAATTGGTATTTTGAGCTTATTGACTTAAAATTGACAAAAACTGATGGACAGCCTAGCTATGACATCTATTTCTGAAAATAGAAGCCCTATCGAGTAGTTTTGACACAACATAGCATTGATGTCTAGGATTTATCAAAATTTTCAGCAATAATAGCTTTCTAAGATTCAAACTCATAACCTCAAAATCCCAAAAAATAACTTTCCATCTTAAAATGCGCCTTATTCATCTCCTATAACCTTCTCTAGCTTGACATAACTCGATTTCACTTCATTCATTTCTCATCGCATGTGGTAATAAAATTGTGATTTAATGACCATTGAGGAGATATGGCTTATAATGCTATGTTATATTTAGATGACATCAAAAAGAAGTCCTCTCAATTTCATTTCTCTTTCTTTTGCGACTCACATGGCGATAAGAAATACTTATTAATGCTTGTTTTTGTGACTTTATGGACAATATATTTTTTTGTGGTTTTTGATAGTTTTTAGTGGATGACGTCTTTGTTGAGTTGAGGGGATTTTTTGGGTTGGTGGCGGTCAAGAGATGATTTTTGGGAGATTTGTGATTTTTAAGGGGGGCCAAGATTATTTTGTAGTTGGTTTTATGAGCTATAAATTTAAATTGATGCAACTGTAGCTATAACAGTCATTCCAGTTTGACTTTCTATGAAGTATTTTAAGCATCCATAATATTCCATTTATGCAAAATATTCCAAAAATATCTAAAAAAGTTCCTGAGCCTGTATGCACGATTATAAAGATGCTTAACGAATCCGTAGTGTTTTTGGCATTTAATCTTGGGATTCGATGGAATATCTTAACTTTAATGCATGCAGGCTTAGGAATTATTTTGGATATTTTTGGGATAAATGGGATATTTAGAATAGTTTCCACGCCTTGATTTTAAGTCATATTCATGATAAAAGCCACCACTAACCTATAAAACCTCACTACTAGTACCAAAGCCTCATTCAGTATACCCAAAAGCCAAGTGGTTCGGATCCCACTACAAACTGTAGGTCTTAAGGGTGTGGTACAATAGATTCTGTTCTAATTTGAATCGCAGTGCCTCCAGCTGAAAGGCTGGGCCCTTCACACATTATTATTATTATTATACCCAAAAGCCCCTCCAAAATCAAAAAATAACCTCAAAAATTCTCCATCAATTCACAACTTTACGATCTCATCAAAAAAAAAGAGAAAAAATTCAAACCCAAACTAATGACGAACATCCGTCGCAACAACAAAAATAAAAATTGGTCATATATAATATAAATAAAAATGTATCTAATAATAAACCCGCATTTGTGTTTAGCATTTTTCAAATTGCAATTTACACGAATTTAAAAAACATTTCTAATCAAAAAAATGAGACATGAAAAAAAAGGTACTCACTCAGTGTGTATATTTATATATTTAATATTATAGAAATCCATACGAATCATCATTCCATCGACACCACATCCATCCGCTCAATTGTGAGCAATTAGCCTCGATTTACACATTTCCATCGTCGTCGTGCAGCGGCGGTGATTCATTGTAGTCACTGTTTGTATTCATAATTTCGTGCATTTTATCGACAGACGATGATTTAACTTCATTATGTTGATTCTGGTGTGGAAGTGGCGTTGAGCCGTTCAGGTGCTGTTGTGAGTCGAGCTCGACGACTTGAATGGGTTGATCGTGGGACGCTACTGTCATTGATCCGCGTTTTCCGCTTAAATTGGCCTCAATTACATCTATTGATGTCGTTGTCGTTGGTGTTGTGGGTGCATTTGACGAGAATCGCATGCTATGTTGTGGATGGCGATTTGTCAAACGCTGAGCATTGATATTTTGTTTGGCGGGAATTTTTGAGGTTATGCGTGATTTGTTTTTGATCAGATAATATTTGATTTTTTTTAGATTTTTTGATTTTTTTGACAAATTTTTTGATTTTTTGTTATTTTTCGGCATTTTTTGATTTTTTGACATTTTTGAAATTATTTTGACATTTTTTCATTTTTTGACATTTTTTGATTTTTTTGATATTTTGACAATTTTTTGATTTTTTGACAAATTTTGATTTTTTGACATTTTTTAATTTTTTTGACAATTTTTTTATTTTTTTGACAAATTTTGATTTTTTGACATTTTTTTGATTTTTTGACATTTTTTGATTTTTTTGACAAATTTTGATTTTTTGACATTTTTTGATTTTTTTGACAATTTTTTTGATTTTTTGACAATTTTTTTATTTTTTTTGACAAATTTTGATTTTTTGACATTTTTTGATTTTTTTGACAAATTTTTTGATTTTTTTGACATTTTTTGAAATTATTTGACAAATTTTGATTTTTTGAAATTTTTTTGAATTTTTTTGAATATTTGTAAAATGATTATTTTGATGATTTTTGAGTGACATAAGTTGATGGTCGGTGGTTGAGGTGCAAAGTTATTTATCAATACGTGCAGGAAGGATTAATTGTTGATGATGAGAGTTACACGGTGGATGATTATTTACAATATGGTTTTGAAAATATTTTTAGTTGAGGTGATTGTGGACATAGAAATAGACAGGCGATGGACATTACATGTAATTAGAGATACAAAAGAAAATAAAGAATAAAATGTTAAGGTGTGTGTGGTATTTACACTCGTGCTAGCTAAATTATTGATTTATTATTGATCTAAAATAATTGATGAACGGGACAGGATGTAGATAAGTTGCAAAATAGAAGCATAAGATCGGCTTGAGGCTTTAGTGAAGCCACATTAGATTAAGTCTAGCTTCAAACCGCTATTTTTCAACTTTTCTACCTCGTGTGCCATTCAAGAAGGCTCAAGCACTCATCCGAGGCTTGTACTATTTTCTACAATCTCCTGATAAGTGCTTAAACCTTATTCAAACTAAAAACTATTCTGTAGACTCTATCTGAACAGTCAGATTGATAATTAAGGTGTAATAATTCAAAATGTGCAGTGCTCATTGCTATAATAATTCGCTAGACTAGTAAAAACTCACAAAACTCACTCACAATTGTGGATAATCACTACAAAATGTCAAGAATTTCAATTCCAAAACTACAAATTCTGGTGAAAATCATTCAAAAAAATCTCACAACGTGAAGTCAATCCAAACATGTGCAGTTTAGGCAGCAAAATTGAAGAATATGAATCAAAAATCATCGTCCATTGAACTAACCCGTTCAGATCATCAACCCCATCTCATCCATTTTCCCTCAAAAAAAAAAAACAACAAAATATTCATTTCCTTTTCAATTTCACTGCCCATTCTATTCATCCATACAGCATACAGCATCTACATTTTAATTCTTTCCTCATTCCGAAAGAATCGAGATAAAATGACGGTCCACAAGAAAGGAAAGAAAAACGACAACAAAAAAAAAACTTCTTCTTGTTCATCAGCACCAAAAAAATGAGCTTCTCGTGAGATATTCCATAAAGAAGCTCAGAACAAGAAGAAGAATTAAGAAGAAAAAAAGTTTTGAAATGATTAATGTTCTGTAGATGACAATCATGGGCTCTGAAGAGGAAATGGAGAGATGGGGGTATGGATGGGGTCATTTGAGTATGATGTCAAAGATGTTTGGAGTATGAAAGGTTTAAAGGAAGCTAAAGAGAGCTAAGGAAGCTGCAGGACAGCGATATAATGAAGAATATAGCTAAGTAAGGCTTTATGGCACTTCATTTCATGTAAAGCACCCCTAATCACCCGAAGAAAACTTTAAGAACCTTAAATGGACTCGGTAAGAGACTAGGAATTAAGCTGAAGCAGCTATGTCATTGCTTATGGCCAAAAAGCTCAGATCAGAGGAAACAGAAATAAGCTGAAGTCGAAATAACCACAAAAAATCCAAAAAACAGCATCCCAAACCAACCCAAGACATCATTCAAGCTTCACCCACAACATTAACTAAGGTAAAGTATCTAAAATTTATTTTCTATTTCATTCTACGTGCTGGCAAGTGTCTCGAGGGTTCAACTGATGAAATGTTTTATTCTGCATGTAAATGAATGGGACACAAAATCGTTCCGTAGAAATTTCCTCAAACCTTTCATTTAAAATTCAAAAAAGTCAAGAAAAAAGAAAATGTTCCGTGTTGGACTTTAACTTGAAAATGATTGGGGACGACAAACAAGAATTAAGCGATGAGGATGGAAATTTTTCTTGTTCCTCTGTCACGATTTTTTTTCTCCTTTTGTGTCTGTTTCTGCTATGGTTACGAAGTTAAGCTGTTGAGAGGAGCTGAAAGGTGTTTTTTTTTGTAGTTTTATTTCTGTCCGTGCATTTTATCTTGTCTGACTGTTGATTTATGAGATTATGGAAGGATTTGTTTTAGCATATTGATGGATATTTGTATGCATAGTGGAGTCAGTTGAGATATGCAGCTACTTCCATAAACTGGGTTAAGAATAGTTAAGGTATTAGCATACAATTGAATTTTGAGTGGATTGAAACTGCTTATATTTAGTCAGGGGAACTCAGATCTTGATAAGTCAGGGGTACACTGCTTGTGCAAAGTCAAGGGTACGCAGCTTTTATGAAGACATGGGAACGCAGCTATCGTGAAACTAGTGAAACACAGCTATCGTAGAGTTAAAAGTGCACTGCTTTTGAAAAGTCAGGGGTGCACAGCTCTTAGAGTAATAGGTACAAAACTCTTGTAAAGTCAGGGATTCCCATCTAACGTTACATCAGGGGGACACTGCTCTAGTTAAGTCAGGGGTACGCGGCTCTAGTTAAGTCAGGGGTACGCAGTCCTTGAAAAGTCATAGGTACGCAGCTATTTTGAAGTCAGGGGTACGCAGTTTTTGTAAAGTAAAGACTAAAGCTCTTGCGACGTCAGGGTTACGCAGCTGACGTAGATAAGGTGCACCCGGCTCTTGATAAGCCAACAGTATACTGCTTAAAACTTCAAGATCAACCGCAACAAAACTGCGCCTCAAACTTCCTCTATCCACACAACATCAACACAATTTTTAAACTCATTCTCATTCTCCTTTCGTAGAACAAACAACACACGACAGTAAAAAAGCTCCCTCGACAAGCTCTATCATTTTCTGTCTATTCACTCACTCGAATAATCCGAGATGTGCTCCTGCATTTCATGTTGCATAATAGTGCGATGTGAAAGATGAGAAATTGAAACTTTTTTTTTTCGTACAGCATAAAAAAAAGTTTCTTTTTAATTAAAAAGCTTAATTCTCTTTTGTGCTGTATTTTTTTTTTAGTGCTTGACGAAGTTTTATTTTACATTATAGTTTTTTCGTTAACAGTTTGATGATGCAATAGAGAATTTTGTGTAAGATGAGAGTAAATTAGGGAATATTAACAAGAATGGGAATAGGTTGGGATGAAAATTTCGAAAAGGGGTGTCAAACTACGTTGAAAAAGAGTGTAAAAATAAACTTTTTTGGTTCAAATGTATGAATTTTGAGAACAGAGGCAAAGTTTGTTCAATAATTCAGTCAACGTAGCACCAAGTTCAGCTCAATCATAATAAATACTTCCTCTCAATATCCAATCATCTGCCAACAACTATTTTTCCGCTGATTTTCTTTTATTCTTTAACAAAATTGTGAAATTTATATCCAATAAAAACAAACTCATACAAACTAAGTTCATATACACACTGTCTGCTCCATAAAATGAGTTCTTGTTATGCTTTGTGGTAATTTTTTGTGATGAATGAAAGGCAGAAAAATAAGAAGAAGCAAAAGAGAGAAAAAATATTTTTGGAAATTGGCTTTTATGGCAAAAGTTTCTCTTTATCCGTTCAAAAAAAATTGTTTGCGGAGATTTTTTCTGGTTTGCAGATTTCATGGGATTGGAGCAGGTTTGAACAGGTCATTTTGTCTTTGGTGCGTAGTTTTTCTATTAAGAAAAGGAAATCATTTGCAAGATGGGGTACACAGCTTTTTATTAAAAGGGTGCACAGCTTGTTCAAAAAGGGTACACAGCTTTTAATAAAGGGGTATACGGCTTTTTAATAAAAGAGTACACTACTTTTTTTGGAAGGGTACAAAACTTCCTCAAGAAGGGGTACACAACTTCTTCGAGTAGGGGTACACAACTTCCTCAAGAAGGGGTACAAAACTTATACTATTATGGGTACGAAGCTATTCTAAGCTAATTTTCATCTTTCAGATCGATACAAAATGCACCCCTTTCTGACTCCTTTCAACCCACAAATTGCAAAATATCTCAACTTTTCATTATTAAACGATGAAATTTCCGTATTAAAATGTATGACACATCGAAAGGATTCTCATCGACTATTTTATGGAGCAATCTCAGCAACAAAGCATTCACACAACTAAGAACAGAATGTGGCTGAACAATAGTTATGAATTTGGGTCAAGGCGATGCTGACAATTATCCACAAGACAATGAGCTCGAAGATTATTGATTTTTTGACAAGTCAGTAGAGAAAAGAAAAATTAAAATATTTTTAACAATTTATTTTATTTTTAAAGAACTTATTTTTTTCATGAATTTTACAAGAAAAACAAAATTTTAACAGTTCATTCGTTCACACCCAAATGCTACTCACCATATCGCAACCACTTCCGGTTACACCAACGGAACTTCCACTTGGCGCTGCACTTCGTCCACCATTTCCTCTTGGACGGACATTCTTGTAGGGCTGAAAGAGCACCAAGTAGACTTTTGGCGTGAATAAGCACGCGAGCACAACCGTAGCACTGATATTGAGGCACATGCATAGACTTGATGACTGTATTTTGTAATCATTTGATGTGCCAAAGTAAATAGCAATTGATGCAAGGAACACAATGCATGTAGAATACATAGTAAAGCCAATATATTTGGCTTCGTTGAAATTTTCAGGAATTTTTCTCGTCTTAAATGCATAAAGCGTACACAATGGCACGAGGAAGATGATAAGGATGAGTGATATCATGAGACTATAGCCTGAGCCTTTACATGTTAACACTGCTGTGAGCGGATGTGGATAAATTTCACGAATATCTGGTGGATCGTAGATAAGCCATGCAATTGATACCGCTAGTTGAATGGCGACGATGCCTGTAGAGAAAAAGTTTTTGGTTGATTAAAAGCGGTATTAAGCTTTTGACAAAAGGGTATGAAGCTTTCTAGCGAGGGGTGCAAAGCTTTTGAAAATGGGTATGCAGCTTTTATGGTAGGGGGACAATGCTTTTGAGAGATAGTCCTACGCTTTTGTTGACAGTGTACTAAGCTCTAAGGAAGGGGTACCGAGGTTTTGACGAAGGGGTACCAAGAATTTCAGGAAAGGGTATTTAGCTTTTGACCAAGGGTATCCAGCTTTTGGTAAAGGGGAAGTATGATATTACGATAGGGGTACTAAGCTTTAATTAAAAATTTACTAAGCTTTAAGGGGTTTGTTGTTTAGCTTTTGAGAAAGGAAGACTCGGCTTATAAGTACGGATGCTCAGATTCTGAGAAAGGGGTACTAAACTTTTAAAGAAGGGAAACCAAGCTTTTGAGAATAGGGAACTTAGCTTATGAGGAAACAAAACTCAAGTTTTGAAAAAGGGGTACTCAACTATAAGAGAGAAGCACAAAAATACAAAAAGGGATTCACAGATTTTAACATCAGGATACTCACCACTCGAAATAGCAACCTGACTAACCGGCGACGTGTAAAGCGGCCTTTGAATGCTCTTAACACCTTGATTGAATATCCTTGATATTCGATTTGTCTTAATAAAAATAGCACTATAACAAATACTTAAACATAAACCAATACCAACTCTGAGCGATGCACACGACCAAATGTTTGGCGGTGCAAGAATAACAAAAGTCATACAATAGCACAGAAGAATGCCTATGAGGAGCATGTAGCACAGTTCTCGACCGCTTGCTTTTATCACTGGAGTTTTATTGTATCTGTAAAGGCATGCAAGAGAAAACTAGGTCAAAAGAGCTCTTAGGATGGAATATTTTTCTCACCTTATAAATACACATGTAGTAAAAAATGCAAAGAAAATTCCAATTGACGAGAACACGAGTGGAACAAGTGCCCATGGCGACAACCAGTCGATGATTTCACCAGGAATCTTGTCACATCCTGTTATATTTACATTCGGTCTCCAACCGGGATCACAAGTTTTGCATGTATCGTTTAGCACGTATGCATCGATATTGCACTTGACACACACCCAGCAGCATTGATCTTGGAAATTTCTGATATGACCTGCTGGACATGGCTCACTGCAGACTGACTTTGGCTCACCGCCCACCCAGCTGAGGGCATTCGAGTTGAGGTTAAGACTGGGAAGAATAAAAAGGATGAGTTGAGTGAAGAAGCCGAACGTTCACTATTCGGTCAAATCTTAAACTCACCTTTCTTTCCAGGTCCCAACCGGAACATAATCATACTTCGTACCATGATTTTGATACTGATAAATATTATAATAACCAAAAACATCTCCATCCTCATTGAATCTAATTTCAGTTCCTTGCGGACTCCTAAACGTACTATTCCTAATAAACCTCAACATTTCCGGTCCCGGAATTGGCAATAATGACATAATACAGTCACGATCGCCTCGATTCTCATCCCCACACTTTGATCTAATAATATCATCAACTGAATGTGCGAATGCATAGACAGCATCAATCACAAATGGAACGAGACCTTCCTGCTCATATCCATTAAGGAGATTCTCATCTCCTGTACATTTTGTCACGTTCATGACTTTCGGATCGAATTTGCATTTATGTCGTTGCTCCCAAAACTCATTGAACCACAAATTACGGCAATTGACGTTTGATTGATTTGTATTCGAGCAGTCGTTTGGGTTGAGTTGGGGTTTGAGGGATAGGAAGTAGTTGTTGAAACCTGTTATGAGGGATTAAAGAATTAGGTTGAAGTTCAAGGTTAGGGAGCGTATTTTCTATAATTCTTTCCCCCTTCCAATTATCATTTTTTAACACATATTGCATTTTTCAAGCTCATCATGATGCTACAATGACTATTGTATGTAGTTTCACACCCCTTTGAACCCAAATTTTACCTTCAGCCAGACTTGGTTTAAGCTAGCTAGATTCAATTAAAATTCTTACATTATCCTTGTGTAGTTTTACACCCTTAACGCTTTAAATCAGTCAATAAAGTAAATACTGCGTAGTTTAATACCCCTTAAAACTCCAAAACTATAGAAAATCTCCCAAAAGCCTAACTTTCAGCCTTACCTTCCGATTCAACCCGATGTGGAAGCACCGTTATTGCATTTATAGCTGCAAACTCTTGATCACGTACGGGATATGACTTCGCACCCCACGAATCACTTGCAATCCAATAGAAATGACCTGTCTTATTTGCTCGTATCGATGCACGCAGCAATCGTTTCACGTTATCCTCATCGACAAACATAACGACAGCACGTGCTTGCTTTTTACTGTACAGTCGCTCAATTATTCTATCAAAATCTTCTTCCTTTGAATTTCGAAGGATTTTCTCATTGATTGCAACACATATGTCGAGTTCTGATGCGGCTTTAAGAAAGCTTGCGATTCCCTTCTCGCCATATTCACCCTCGACACACACTGTACTGGCATATGTGAGCTTTAGTGTCATAACAATCTCAGCTAATGCTTGACCTTGCTCAATATCACTCGGTACGACACGATTAAAGTACTCAAATCGTGACTTGTCTGATAATTCAACAGATGTTGAGGCATAGCTTATTTGTGGGATTTTAAAAAGTCGCAAAATGTTGGCAACCATCACTGAGACAACACTAAATGATGCACCGACAACACCAACGACTGGCTTGTGTGGTTTATAAATTGGAGCTGTGCCATCCTGGCATGTGTATTCTGACACATCCTGTAGATTTTTTTCGTATTGGGGGTTTAGGTTGGATGAAGGTGTGAGCATTAATGACGATTTTTGAAGAGATTTTGCAATCATGATGATTGAATTGATGATGATTGATGATGATTGATGATGATTGATGATGATTGATGATGATTGATGATGATTGATGATGATTGATGATGATTGATGATGATTGATGATGATTGATGATGATTGATGATGATTGATGATGATTGATGATGATTGATGATGATTGATGATGATTGATGATGATTGATGATGATTGATGATGATTGATGATGATTGATGATGATTGATGATGATTGATGATGATTGATGATGATTGATGATGATTGATGATGATTGATGATGATTGATGATGATTGATGATGATTGATGATGATTGATGATGATTGATGATGATTGATGATGATTGATGATGATTGATGATGATTGATGATGATTGATAAGTTAGTGATCATTTCGTTTATTAATCATGAATAACATCGTCAAAATTGATGGAAATCAATGACATCGTCAATGATCCCGATTGATGATTTTGCCAATTTTTCCCCGAAAATGTCAATCCAGTTGATTCAAATCGAGTTGTTTATTCCAAGTTTTAATGGTTTTTGAGGTGTCGATAAACATTTTTTCACATGCAGAATTTTAAAGGTTGAGATGAATTAGCGAATTTGTTTTTGTGTGGGAGTATAATTTTGTTTGTTGAGGTTATTTGGATTATTTTGTCATTTTTGGTAGGTTTGATAAATAAAATAAAATTTGTAGACATATGTGGGAGTTTAAATGTGTTTTTCGTGGGATTTTTCAAATTTATGATGACAATTTTATAATCGTGGATGTTGCACAGAATATTGGAGATTTATAAAACATTGTTGGTGGGTTAGTACATGTTGATTATGATGTCCATGTCATATAGAATTGGTTGTGATGTTGACAAAGTTGCCATGTAGAAGAAAATAGAATAAAAAAATTGAAAAATTAGTTCCAAAATTATTAAAATTGAATTTTAACAGTAATTTCATTCATACAAAGTTAACAAACAAAATGGTAGACTCAATATTAACCCATCCACCTGCTTAATCCTCATTCCAACGACAATTAATGTCAAAAAAACTTCCAAAAACTTTCCCAATATTTTATGAACCCGAAAAAAAATTTATAAAAAATAAATAAATCAATTACAATCGGAGATACGTCCAATAAATACATAATAAACTTTATCTCTCCCTAGCAACAAAATGAAATTTTATTTATTGAGGATATTTCCAGCAAAACAGCGGTAAATTTGCCTGAGAAAAAAAAAGTCCATTTCGGAACTAAAAGTTTATTTTATTTTCATTTAAAATCGAATTGCACAAGTTTTTAAATAATGAATGTGAAAGAAATAAAGAACAGAAGAGAAAAGAAGAGAAGTGAAAATTATTAATGAATTGTTTCCATTCACCATTTGGCATTAAGCACAGATTCTCATGGTGTGAAAAAAAAATCCCTCAGATGCTCAATAAAAAATAAATATCGATGGATTTTCTTTTTTTTTGGTTTGGTGTAAATTATCATGAAGAATGGAGCATATTTCATGGGAGTTGAACAGAAGAGCAAGTAGGGATAGTCAATTAGGTTTTGATAAGAAGACGCATTTAGGAATATTTGAGGTTATGTTATTGAATTTGAGGTTGAGCTTTTGAATCTTAAGAGTATGTCACTGGTTTTTTGAGGTTATGTTACTCATTATTGAGGTTATGTCACTCCGTTCTGAGGTTATGACACTTAATTTTCAGATTATGTCGCTCAATTTTGAGGTTATGATATAGAATTTTGAGGTTATGTCGCTCAATTTTGAGGTAATGTTACTGCATTTTGAGATTATGTCGCTCAATTTTAAGGTAATGTCACTCAATTTTGAGGTTATGTCGCTCAATTTTGAGGTTATGTCGCTCAATTTTTAGGTTATGTCACTCAATTTTGAGGTTATGTTGCTCAATTTTGAGGTTTTGACACTGAATTTTTAATGGTTATGTCACTGATTTTTGAGGTTATGTCGCTCAATTTTGAGGTTATGTCACTGAATTTTGAGGTTATATTAATCAATTTTGAGGTTATGTCGCTCAATGACGAGGTTATGTCACTGAATTTTGAGGTTATGTTAATCAATTTTGAGGTTATGTCGCTCAATTTTGAGGTTATGTCACTCAATTTTGAGGTTATGTCGCTCAATTTTGAGGTTATTACGCTCATTTTTGAGGTTATGACATTGAATTTTTAATGGTTATGTCACTGATTTTTGAGGTTATATCGCTCATTATTGAGGTTATTTCACTCAATTTTGAAGTTATGTTGCTCAATTTAGAGGTTTTGACACTGAATTTTGGGGTTATGTTACTGAATTTTGAAGTTACATCGACAAAAGTGGGATAAAACTCACAATCACTCCAAAATTCCAGCTAACCAAGTTAAGCATAAAAACATAAAAGTAAATCCAAACCACAAAGAAGACCAGAAAAACAAAAAGAAATTGAGATAAAAAAAATGAATAAAAAAAAACTTTTTAATGCATAAATTATTTGACATGAAAAATGCGTTGTGGAAATGTCTATTGCCAATAATATTCAATGAGAATATTGATGATTATGTGAAAATCTGCGGGGATTTGGATAAAGAAGTAATTCCGAAAATGGAAATGACAGCTGAATATTTTTAGATTTCATCTCATTAGCTTCAAAAATTGTTTTCTTGACAACCCATTTTCTAGGAAGACTACAAAGTGGTCAACAACATTTTTATTTCTTGGAATTTTGGTCATTAAGTGGGATTACATGATTGACATGTGTCTGATACTCCACAGGAAGCTCGGTTACGTCCTTTATTTGTGTTATGATATTTACGATTTGTTGACTAACATTTCTGTTTGGATTAATTTAGTTCTTGGAATTCTGAGTTTGCAGAGATTTGTTTGGTCAGCAATTTTATGAATTATTTGCTTCAAATCGCTGACATGTGCTGGATTTTGGGAGACAAAATGGTCAAATCTGAATCATGGGTTAGTCAACATAACCTCCAAAATATCCCCTTTACCACAATAATCACCCCATCAACCACATTAAATTCCAAAATAAACACAAAATATTATTCCAATTAAAGCAAAGCCTCAAGAAACTGCCGAGAAAATATTCATTTCTTTAATTTCATTCATTTATTGAAAAACCACTTTTCCGAAAGCATTTTATAGAAAATTTAATTTTCCTTCTCTTTTTTTCCAATTAAAGTTTTCGTCTATCTTTCAATTCAAGAACCTATCAATTTAATGTTTAAGAGACGGATGGAAAGAAAAATTGTTGAAAGTGAAGGAAAGATGAATGAAGAAGATTGAAAGGAGGAAAATTAAGATGAAGAATGTGAAGAGGATGGAGGTGGGATTGGTGGAGAACTGAAAAGATGATAAAAATAGAAAAAAGTTACTTGATTGGATTTTATTCCTGTTTTCAATTCGTAAAACTTAGTTCTAAAACTTAGTTCTAAAACCTTAATTCAAAAACCTTAGTTTTAAATCCTTAGTTCTAAAACCTTAGTTCTAAAACTTTAGTACAAAAACCTTAGTTCTAAATCCTTAGTTCTAAAGCCAAAGTTCTAAAACCTTAGTTCAAAAACTTTAGTTCTAAATCCTTAGTTCTAAAACTTTAGTTCAAAAACCTTAGTTCTAAATCCTTAATTCTAAATCCTTAGTTCTAAAACCTTAGTTCTAAAACCTTAGTTCTAAAACCTTAGTTCTAAAACCTTAGTTCTAAAATCTTAGTTCTAAAATTCTAGTTCTAATATCAAAATTTTAAAAACTTAGTTTTACTCAAGTTTAACCAACACATCACTTTCAACGCCTTTCACAGTAGCATCCTGATCAAAACAAACCTTACGAATAAAAGAAAAGGAGAAGAATAAAAAATTGCAAAAATTGTCTTGAGGGAGTTTGCCTGTATATCGAACATAAGCAAAGGCAAACAAGCGAAACAGAAAACGAAGATGTCGATAGAAAAAAATGTTTATTTATGGGGAAAAAATTCCCTTTTTTACTGTTAATGTGAAATGAAAAAAAAACTTTTTTCATCTTTTGCAATTTCTTCCTCGTCTCCTTGAATAGCGTTAAACTTTTTTTTCTCTCTCTCGAATTTCTATCGATAAGAATTAATTTTTAGCATTAATTAAGAAAGCAGATGGAAAAATGTGCGAAAAATTTTTTCAAATTATTTTCATTTGTCGGGTTGTTTATTATCAACAAATTTTTGCCTTCTTGTGCTTCACTGATTTCATTACATCGCACGTGTTTACACTTTTATTATTGGCAAAATTTTTATCCTTAATGAATTTTTGTCGATTTTCTTTTGATGGGAAATCTTGAAACGAGACTTTTTCGTTGTTGAGACATTTTAGGTGCTTTAGATTTTGAGTGGGATTTAATGAGATGATAGGGCTTCGTTTTTGGGAAAAAGGGAAAGTGAAGGGGTAGGAATTAAGAGGAAGGGGTAGGAATAAGTACAAAGGGGTAGGAATAAGTACGAAGGGGTGGGAATAAGTACGAAGCGGTATGTATAAGTACGAAGGGGTGGGAATAAGTACAAAGGGACAGGAATAAGTACGAAGGGGTAGGAATAAGTACAAAGGGGTATGAATAAGTACGAAGTGGTGGGAATAAGTACGAAGCGGTAGGAATAAATATAAAGGGGTAGGAATAAAGGCTTTTAGTTACAAGATTCATGCTTTGGAGACAATTTATTCATATTAGAAGTTTTTTCTTAAATATAGTCGATAGGTTAGCTGGTAAGTGATGATTTTAGTCAAAATTCAATAAAATTCCATATTAAGGGTAACACTTTAAACTTTCTCACTAAACAAACCCAAGTTTTTAAATTTTTTTAAAATTATTTTAATGCAAACTCTCAAAATTGTCGTCAAACTCTCCAATAAACCCCCATCCCACCCTTAAATCTCTTCCAATT